ATGTACTATTTATTTTATTCTTTCTCCTTCCGACAATATTCAATCTGATAAAGATGGATGAGCCTGCTCCAACTCTGGCCGAATTAGAAAAGCAAATGGTGCTCGACAGGGATAAAATACAGTCAATTATCGATGGTTTTATTGTCGCATATCACAATGGTCTGACTAAAGACCATAGTACTATGATACCATCATATGTATCACGTCTTCCTACCGGTGCTGAGACTGGTACATATTTATCCTTGGATTTGGGAGGCACCAACCTAAGAGTTGCGGCTGTAACCTTAGTTGGTGAGGGTAAAGCTGACGTTGAACAAAAACAGTTTGTAATCCCGGCAGAGTTAAAAATTGGTCCTGTTGACAATTTACTCGATTGGGTCGCAACAGGGGTTAAAGAATTATTGGATTTTCTCGGAATCCAAGTAGATAGCATTAGTGAGAAAGGATTGTTTATGGGTGTTACCTTTAGCTTTCCGATCCGGTAAGGGTGAATACATTATGTTTGCAAAAAAAAAAAATAATAATAATTTGAGAAATTTTCTAATTTATAATAACAATAATAATAATAAAAGCCAAACAGATATTAATCATGGATCGGTCATGACAATGGGTAAAGGATTTGAACTCACAGGAATAGAAGGTCAAAATATTGTTGATCTTCTGCATGCGGCTTTTAAGCGCAAGGTGAAACAAATAACGAATTAGGGTCAATACATCTATTAGGTTTGATCTCATCCTTCTTTAATCTATAGTGTATGAATATTCGTATTGCTGCCATAGTAAACGATTGTGTTGGTACTTTCGTAGCAAATGCTTACAAAGACCAAAACACAATTGTTTCTATAATCTTGGGCACAGGAACAAACGCTTCCTGTATTTGTCAAACATCTTCCATTTCAAAATGCAAGTTCCCAAAAGACTCGCCTGAGTACATGATTGTTAATACAGAGTGGAGTATAATGGGAATGGGCTTCTTGCCAAGGATAAAATATGATAAAATTCTTGATTTACAAAGTAATAAGCCGGGATTTCAACCATTTGAAAAAATGGTTAGTGGCTATTATTTGGGAGAATTGGTTAGATTAGCAATGGTTGATCAAGTGAATAATTTTGGTTTGTTTGATGGAATTTTGCCCAGTGGGCTTGAAATACCATATAATTTCACTACTAAACACATGTCTGACATCGGGAGGTATGCGCTAATATTGTATATTCCGAAATTTCTCCGAAAGCCATTATTAATATACATGTATATATTTCAAGTGATAAATCATCGGATTTTAACATGGTCGACACAATTTTCACAAAAGAGTACAAAAAATCACCAAGTCTCGATGATAGACGAACTGTTCATGAACTCGTGATTCGATTCTCGAGACGCTCTGCACAATTATCTGCTGCAGCTGTCGCGTCTCTTATAAAACTTCAATGCCCAGATTTTCCTGCTGTTGAGCGGGAAATCAGGGTAGCGGTGGATGGTTCACTTTATCATCGATTTCATAAGTATGCAGGTTGGATGAATAAAACTCTTAGAGACATTCAACGAATAAAAGAAGATAAACGAACTAAAGTCATTCCAATTGAAGATGGTGGCTGCATAGGAGCAGCTATAACTGCTATGATGTATTCCAATTAGTTGCATTGGTTTTTTTAATTTTTTTTTTTTTATCTTATGCGTTATCGTTTATCTCGTCTAATAATTTAGGAACTATAACGCAAGTAAGCAATTTTAATGTATCCAGAAATGTACAATGAATTAAAAAGTATATCGTTATTATCGTTATCATTACTGGTTTCATATTATTGAGATAGATTTGTCAAAGGCTTATGAAAATGTTGATGTTAAAAAGGGGGTACCTTTTTCAAAACCGTTGTTTCGTTGCATTAGGTTTGACTTTACAGTCAGACCTTGATATAAGGCCAAAATTTAATGTTACTAAGGTGATAGTGCCTATACAGAAGTTAGTTTTATTATGCTTTATAATAATAATTGGTACATAAAAACAACAATAGAACTTTTCTATAATTTGTGACTATCTATATCTATATCGAGGTCTGACTGTATTATATAGAAACTTGGTTTGCCATACATGACATAATAGTGTGTAAACGCGTAAATTTGACACGCATGACAGAAAAAAAATTACGATTTGATATTTTTTTCTTATTAAAAATTTATCAATTTTGCTTATCAACAAAAAGTCGTTTAGAAATGAGTACCGCTCAAATTTCTTCAACGATCTACATGGTATGTAATAAATTATCATACATTTGCTAATAAAGAGAGAAGTTTCATTCAAAACTGATAAAAGTGGTCTTAGAAATTATAAACTTACGTTTTGTCATTTGCCATACAAGTATTGACAAATGTCACTTATTATTTTGTTTGGGTATTATCACCGCCGGTATACTTGTTGGCAAAATTATAAATCCTCAAAATCCCTTCCAAATCCCCAAACCCAAATGGGTGAGTACACAGCAAAACCATGCTTAGAGAAGTTCTAACCGAAATTGTGATTTTTACTGGATTATATTCCTAAATGCGTGTTTTATCTATGCTAAAAATTTTATTACGTATTACCATATTATAATTTGGTTTAATACTTTGTGCAGTTTTTTATCGATGTCGATATTACGGTTAGTGTAATGAAATCATTATAATTGTTTTATAATAATAATAATTAACGTTTTTATTTGTGATAAATTTTTACTCATGTGAAGCGAAGCATAATTCATCTTTATAAGGATCATGCACGAATATCCTTATATAATTGCTTCTGACGTTTTAAAGATAAAGGTTTTATATTTATTTTATATTAAATTATAATAATAAAAAAATACTTGTAACAAACATAAATAAATACTTACAGAATACTAAGTATTTAAAAAATATTATTAGCAAGCATTTATTTAATAATAATATTTAATTTATATAGGATAGTAATTGATTTAACTTCGTGATGTATATATATTTATATATAGGGATAATTTTACTCAGAGTTATTATCTAAGTAGCAGAACAAAGTTTAAATCTCACTAGAGATGAAATTCAAATTTGCAAAATATGTTATAGCAGACTATCCTTTAAACCGTCTAGCAGGCAAATTTGCCTGCTTATTTTATTTTTCAAAAGTTTTTTTAAGATTTCTTAAAAT